CGATATAGCACAACGCGCTTGTCAGTTCGACAACGTCCTTCAGGTCTTGACAGACCAATGGATTTCGGCTGAATTCGGCACCCGAGCTCAGTGTTGGTCTTGCGGCATGTTTCCGACTTCAGTTGTTGACGCCACAGACGCCGACTTTGAAAAGGGATCCAAAATCAGACCACTTTGGTCGAAATTGTGGGTCCAGCTTACTCCTATAGGCAATCTTCGCTATACCCTTGATCGCAATTCAGCCTTTCCCCCACTCCCTCTTTCTCCCGACGCTCCTTAGAAATACCCAGCCCTGTCGCATCCTTCGGCCGGCTTTCCAGTCATTCCTTCAGTCCTACTTCTCTCCACCTGCTCTCCTGCGTTTCAATACTTGCCAACCTGCCCTCAAAGCAAACATGGTTCTCGGTCCGACCCTGCGCCGCTGGCTTCCTTACCTGAACTTCACTGTCGCCATTTCCGCGCTCGGCTTTCAAACAGGCGTACTTTATCCGTGGCACGAGGAGCTGGACAGAGAGTTCAAAAAGCTCAGAGAAGAAAACAAGGAACAGCTTCAGGTCCTTCATGAAGCTAAGCTTCGGAGGCTGGAGGAGTTGGAGAGTCGATTTTCGAACGAAAAAACTCACAAGGCATGCATCTCATTGTTTTGGAAAGTTGCAAGAGTCATTTCAGGCTGACTTGAACAGCTTTCGTGGTGGCCATGGCACTACAAGTCAACATCACAGTCGTAAAGTCGACCAAATGATTCGACATCGCATTCTTCTATGTGGGGGAGCATCGAGCGAGTCGCAGCCGTCAAATCCTTGGAAATAGTCCAAAAAGGCTGCATCAATGTACAGCAACAAGCCCCGCCTTCGTCTTTGGTTACTAATGTGGACATAGTTCCTTTCAAGTTTGAGCGCATAGATTGAGGACTGGACTTTTGATTCAACAACGGCCAGCCTAGTGCTTCTCGATACCCTAGAATTTCGTGCAAAGTGCACTCGCACTTTGCATTTCTAATATATTGACTTTCTCACCGGATTAGACGCAAAAAGAGTCGTTATGATGAGGCTAAGCTCGCCCAGTAGCGCAAGGCGTAAATGCCTGAGCACCAAGGCTGTCGCAAAGTTCGCGACACTCACAAGAAAAAGTAGGGCCGCAGCTAGGAAGCATACATTTTCTTTCATTACCCACTCCTGAGGAACATTCCACTTCCTCTAAGCAGTATTCAGAACCACTTGAGCATCTATGACGGGTAGGAACAGGGAGCATTCGAGCGCTATGCTACAGGACCTTGGGACTTGTGTGCTACGACTTTTGTCGCCAAGCCTCGCAAACTGACGCGCGCCCTACATCAACGCCCTCTTCTTACAACGAAATTGGCACTCCTCATTCAAACGCAAGACGGCTGCGCGAGCGATCCCCTCAACTTCCACGTCCAACAATCGGTGGTGGAATTGATACGGTAGAGGTTCACGGTTTGAAAGCGACTGACAGCTAGCGATCTAATCTCGACAACTGCAGATCAAAATAGCATCGCTCTCCCATATTCAATCACCCATGTTGTTGATCACGGTATGATTCGCAATCAGAACTAGTTCGCCACGGCTATATCAAATTGCCGAATACACGGCCGTCTCGACTGCCATTTGGTCCTGGTATTTTTGGTTCCAAACCAATTCTGAAACATTTCTAGATGCACCTTGATGCGATGGCTTCTCAGGCGAGTCTTTGCCCTCCACACATACCGTTTTCAGGGCTTCCTCATCAAAGCGAACGGAACGCGAAAAAGACTGCGCCAAGATGAGGCAGGCAGCTGTCTCACCGCTACAAGGCATCCGTGGTGCAAGTCAAATTCAGTTCTCTCGCATCTGCTCGCAGCAAAACCAAGTTCTCGGCGCGTGCTTTGCAATCGGCTTGTTTGAGTTTTGTCGTAGAGAGGCACGCGGCCCATATCGTTCACTCATCTACTTCATTCGCGGATAGTGAGCCGCCAGCCGCCGACCGCAGCCCGGTTGCACCACTCTCGCCCGCTCACCGCCCGACTTGCACAACTACCCGTCGAGCCAAAATTCATCAAGCAATGCGGGGGGCTCTATATGGTCAAAACACGCAAGCCACATCCCGTCTTAGTGGGTCGACAGGAAACTAAGTTAAGCGTACAAGTAGGCTTGAATGCAGCGACACCAAATTTGAAAAAGCGAACACGAGTCCTCTCTGATTCGACGTCACTCAATCCAGTTGACACGAATGCTGGATGCGACAGCCTCGTGCGTAGTGGCACCTGATCCACACAGGCATCCCCGAATCAATTTTGTCCTACGGTAGGACGCACGGCTGAGAGCCACAACAGCACGGCTCGCACATCTCAACTTCTTGAGCACTTGGTTTCTTTTTCTGTAAACCACTCCTGCCATCTGAATTATGGTCGGCATCTGTCGAGTCAGCCATCCGCTCTTAGACCGGTGTCAACATTCATCCCGGTGCATGACGAACCGCCAGGACGGCAGCTAACTGGGTCCCTTGTCGATCTTCTTGACATCGATCTGCCTGTACGACAAGCGGAAATGGCATATCTCCTGCTAGTTGCGGCATACAACTGCATCACTACCACCCGTCCCGAGATATTGATTGGTGACAGTACTGCACTACGTAGTAGCTCCTGCTGCCCGAAAACAATTCCATGGTCGCTCTTAAAGCCGGTCCCGAACCAAACGCCTAACTTCCTGTTTACTGTCTCATGCCTCCAGTGCCCTGAGTCCGTCTCGACAGGATGAAGCATTTTTATGCTCTTGGCTTGCTTTTATCCCTCGTCGCTGCTTCATCCCCTGGCTTGGGCGCGAACAGCGACGCTTTCAAACTCTTTCAGCGCGCCGAAAGATACAACAAGCCCATACCTCGTGAAGATGTCCAGGCACCAGCGCAGGTGGACCGCCTTCAAAAGCGACAGTCGCGGTTTCGAACAACCGCTTCAGAAAGTATGTCTGCCGTTCGCGTCGGATTTCGACCAGGCTGACGAATGCTCTCACAGAATTCGTAGTCGATGGGACTGCTATCCCAGAAGTGCCTTTCGACGTTGGAGAATCATACGCTGGATTACTTCCCATATCCGATGAACCAAACGAGACCCGGAAGCTTTTCTTTTGGTACTTGCACTTTCCGAAATGGACGAAGACCGAGGCCGCTGATCAGGACTGGCAGGTTTTTCCCCTCGACAAATCCTGACGCTGGAGCAGACGTCACTGCCTGGTTCAACGGAGGTCCTGGATGCAGTTCCCTCCTTGGTCTGTTAAGAGAGAATGGTCCGTTCACATGGCAAGATGGAACGTTTGCACCGACGCAGAATCCTTACAGTTGGGTGAATTTGACGAATATGGTGTGGATCGAGTGAGTCCAAATACTTGACTGTCCATTCTGCTTCAGATCCATTGACTTTTGTTCCAGACAGCCAGTCGGCGTTGGTTACACGCAAGGCAAGCCAAATATTACGGACGAGCTGGGAGTAGGCGATCAGTTGGCCGGATTCTGGAAAAACTTTGTCGACACCTTCGATTTGAGGGGCTTCAGGGTCTATCTGACTGGAGAGTCATATGCAGGCTTCTATGTGCCGTATATTGGTATGTCTCCCAAAGAAAAAAGAGAGGGGAAAGGACAGTTTGCTGATATTGAGTAGCGGACGACTTCATCGGTCGTAACGACAAAGACTACTACAATCTGGCCGGAATAGCCATCAATGATCCGATCATTGGAAGCAGCACTGTTCAACAGGCTGGTAAGTTGGCACTTTCCCCCAGGAGAACAAAAGGAAAAAATAAGTTAGTCCCTGTTGAAGCTGACTCGTGCCTAGTCCCTGCTGTCCCGTTTGTAAACTACTGGCAGGAGCTTTTCTATCTCAATGGCTCTACCATGGAAAAGATCAATGCGGATGCCGACCGATGCGGATTCACTAACTTGTTCGACAAATTCCTCACTTTCCCTCCACCAGACGAGGACTTTCCTGATATCTTCGACCCCGCTGAGCAAAAGAACAACTCCTGTGACGTATTCAGTGCAATCATAGAAGCCGCAAAGGAAGTGAATCCTTGCTTTGATATCTACCACATTACCACAACCTGTCCTAGTAAGCTGCACCTAGGAGACAACTTTCGGAGATGGGGCTAGACTGACCATTTCCAACACAGCCCCTTATTCAATTCTCGGCAAAGTCAACAGAGACGATTATCAACCACCAGGGCTCCAAATCTACTTCAACCGCACCGACGTGCAGCGCGCCATCAACGCCCCTGTGGGTACGAATTGGACACAATGCTCGCAGAAGCCCGTCTTCGCCGGCAACGGCAGTGACTTGACGCAAAGCCCCGCGCAAGACGGCACGCTCCGTCGCGTCATAGAAGCAACGAACAATACCATCATCGGCAGCGGCAACCTCGACTTCATCCTCCCGACCAACGGCACCCTGCTAGCCATTCAAAATACGACCTGGAATGGAAGACGCGGCTTCCAAGAATATCCTGGCCGGGTCTTCTACTCGCCATACCATCCAGAGTATAACAAGGGATGGCTGGCGGGCAGCGGCGAGGTGGGTTTCTGGGGCCAAGAAAGGGGCTTGACGTTCTACCAGGTGCAATTGGCAGGTCACGAGCTACCTGGCTACGCAGGCGGTGCCGCCTACCGCGTAATTGAGTACATGCTGGGCCGAGTCAAGGCTTTGGATGAGCAGTCCAACTTTTCGACGCAGCCAAACGCAAACTTCACCGGACAAAAGGGACCAGGGAAGAGGAATGAGCTGTGATTTGAGAAGCCAGGACGGCGCAATGGGGAGCGGCCCTGTTCAGGCTCATAGAGGCTCAGAGGATGTAATCAGGGGGTTGCTGCGCGAATCGCACGCGAACCTGGGAGGCTTGGGTACCCGAACAGAGGCCAGACTGAGAGCTTTGAGCGCATGATGCATGGCGTAGTAAGGTCACAGCATGCAGTATATATTCTGTAGAGTCGGAGATATTGCTATCAAATCACGTGAGGACTCCGTGGCGCAATTGGTTAGCGCGTCTGACTGTTAAGGAGAGAAATTTCTAAAGCAATCAGGAGGTTGGCAGTTCAAGCCTGCCCGGGGTCGAGTTCTTTTGCTTTTTGTTGCTTCCAAGTTCCGATTGCAATTGTTTGCTGTGGAGAAGAAGCATTCCATTCATGTCCACGACCCAAAATTTTGCTCGGCTTCAGTACGGGTTTCTCCGGGCTATGACCGAGCGGGCTTCCATGAGGCCGATCTTGCCGAACGGCGTCGCCCTTTCAACGACATCCCGTCCCCCACCCAAGGACGGAACTGCTGCGCAAACAGCTGCGCCTTGAAAGCAAAAGCTGCATCGCGAAGCAAAGTCTCGATACATTCCGATGGCCCAATCAAAACTCGACAGGAGCGAGATGGGCTGCTGCAAGGCAACCGTGTGCTTCGCCTTGACCGCGTAAACCATCCGCCTCACCGAGAGGCTTTGCCAGCCTGCGAGGCTGGCGGCCTACTTCTCAGCCGACCCGTCAGCCACTGGGACTGAGGGTCTGCAAAAAAGCAAAGTTCTGTGGACCGAGGCTGGTAGGTAAAGTCGTGGCACACACAACCTCCCAACGACTACACTCATGGACGCTTGAATTTTCCCTGTTAGCCGTCGGTTATAGCGTATGAATGCTCCTCATCAGTCATCAGTCATCTGTCAGAGCAAATGAATGCTCCCTGAAGGGCGACACTGATCCTCTACTCTTGTTGTGTGTGCCCCGATGTTTGTAACCACTTCGTTTCGAGGCTTTTCCGCAGCACACTGTTTCCACAAATTGGGGCTTGACTGCTCCTGGCCACAGGGTTTATCGCTCGTGAAGCGAAGACATAAAGCGGTTGAGACTGCTTTGTCTCGCGGGTCTCGCAGTGGTCGACTGCGGTTTGCGCATGGCGGCAGAAATCCTTGTTCTGAGGGTGAGAAAGCGGTTGGAGCCGCTGCATCCCGTTGGTAAATCTGTCAAAAGGCTAGCAGACCACACAAAAAACACCGGCTGATGAAAGACAATAGAAATGTGATGGACCTGAACCATTGGACCCCCCAAGAAAACCTTTTCGAAGACGCTGGCGCCAGGGTTCTCAGAGCTGAATTGATGAGTCCGACGAACTCCCGAATCAGGTCTCGAAATACTGCACATTTCCAAGAGGAGCATCGGCGCGGCTCGTTCCACGCTGAGTCGGGAATTGGCATCCATCGAACATTCTTGAGCCATGCGGCATACTCACACTTCTCCCGCCAGCCTGGCTGCTCCTCGCCATGCCAGGTTTCATCCTAAGCTCCCAACTGGGCAGTATTTTCTTCAAAGGGACTTGCGTGCGTTCGACGTGACCATCAATGGCCAAATGGCCGCAGACATTCGATGCCGGCGGGCTTTGACGTGGAGAGATGAGCGTGATTGGTGGGACGGTGGGACGGCGTCGTGTCCTGTTGCGGTTCGGCAGAGGCCGTGATGCCAGATTCTGAGAAGAGCTCTGGGAAAGCGTAGAAGGCGAGGAATGAGGGTGGTGGGTTGGCTGGAGGGCGGGCTGAATGGCGTCGTGTCTTCTTTCGGCTTCAAAGAGGTCATGATACCAAATTTTGAGAAGAGCCTTAAAGAGGAACTGAGATTGCCGGGAGTATTGCCTTCTTCCAGTTTGGGAGAGACCATTATGCCAGATTTCGAGAGGCGTGCTGAAGGAGCCTACCATGGGAGGTGGACCTGAGGGTATCGGGTCAGCTTCTTCGTGCTACCGTGGAGAGTGCACAGTCCTGACCACAGACCGAGAGCAGAGTGGTCTTGTTTCGTGGTCGCGAGGACGTAGATGGGGCGTGGAGGAAGGCGCTGCTGGCGGAAATTAGTTTTGGCGGTGTTGGTCTCTTGTGCCGGGCTGCTGCGTCGCACTCGATGCCAACTCCAACTCCAACCCTCGACACCCTACTACGACCAACACCACAACTAACTCTTCCACAATGGCATCAGCCTTTGTGGCCCCATCTGCGCTCCCTGGCGGTGGAGGTGACCCTCCCCGTCAACCAAACAACAACAACAACAATAACAATAACAACACCGGCCACAGAGTCGAAAAATCAGGGTAAGTCTGCAGTCTTGAGGTCCGTGGAGGAGTTCGATGTCGCTGAACGTCTGAACAGACAAAAACCATCGTACAAACGCTGTGGATATGACGTGCACGGCCACTGGAAGGATTGCACAAGAAAATGTAGAAGACGCAACACCTACGAACACGTAGGAATGCCGTGCTCGGTTAGGATCCAACGAACACCTCAAAAGAATCCCGGGGCCGTGAACGAACAAGCCGTCAAACTCAGCACGGACTTATATCAAGAAACTCGTGGCCTCAGGGAATAACTTGAAGAAAGCAGAAACAGGGAATCCAACATGGGCCAACACGCTGAAAAAATGCCAAGAGATTTCTCCGTTTTGCAACAAGACCACATCACTTTGCAGCAACAATACGACGAAGAACGAGAGCTCACAAACATGCAGGTCGACCGCGAAGGCTGGGAAGACAATACTCGGTCCTTGATTCTTCACGAAAGGGAAGAACGCACGGCGTCATTCCATTTGAACGAAATGGTCCAGCGCTATCAACAACAAATCCAGGAGCTTCAAAGACAACTCCAGGAACGAAATCAACAAGACGGCCACCAAAAAGGCTAGTTCAGACGTCAAATTTCGATTGACATTCAATACCAGGCCCTGCCGCTGAAAACAAGGCCCAACACTCCAAACCAGGCCTCTTCACAAAACACCAGGCCCTGTCTCTCAAACACCTGACCAAATCACTTAAAACCATGCCTCGTTAAACAACACCAGGCCTCGTGACTCAAACAACCGGCTCAACACTGAAAACCAGGCCTCTTCAAAAATCAACCAGGCCCCAATACTCAAACCCAGGCCTCAACAAAAAAGAAACACAAAACACAAGACTCTGCCGCTCAAACCAGGCCTCACATGAAACATCATGCCTCGTCAATAAACACAAGGCCTGAACAATCAAAACCAGGCCTCTCAAACAGAATTCAAAATCCCAAGCTTCACAGAGATGTTTGCTTCTCGGGTGCGCTGCTTCGTTCGCGAAATCAAGAAGAGCTCGGAGGCCTTGTTTCGCGGAAGCAAGAAGAGCTCGGCTCGCAAACAATCTAGGAGCCTTGCTTCGCGGAGGCAAGCAGAGCTCGACTCACAAACAACATCCCAAACATCTAAACACCACAAAACAATCAAAATCTGTCAAATGGTGGTGTGTGTGGGGAGGGTGGGAGGACGAGAATTGCGAAACAAGACTACGCCAACAATTTGCGAACAATAATGCCCTCAGGCAAAATTTCTGTCCAAATTCAACACGACGCAAGCTCTAGCAGACGTCTGCTCTCAAACAACACGAAAGGACTGCGGAGGAAACAGAGTTTTCAATCAACACAAGCAATGGGCAACAGTCAAGATATGCGGAGGGAAAACAATTGGCGAGAAAGATATAGCGGGAGGGGTAGAATGGGGCGCCACTGAATATTAAGACGATTCAATCCAATGAAAATCCCCGTGCTACACGAATCATCAAGAAGGCAGCTGAAAGTGACCACTAACCATCATTCATAGCAGAGGCATTCAATCTTGAGTTTTACTGAGCATGCGGTCATGTTCTCGTTGAGCATCAAGATTCGGGAGCAGAAGGCAGTAAACCATACATTCAGTCTTGCGAGATGATTGCATGCTTCTGAAGCTGCGTGGATATCGTTGTCGCTATTGCGCCTCCCTCCCTACTCCCTCCTCCCAACTCGTTGCGCCCTTGCTCAGCGCTGCTGTACCCTCTTGCTGATGTTTGCTTCACTCAATTCTTTCCTGTCTTTGCCTTCTTTGCTGCGTTTGGTTGTTGAGCTCCATGTCGCGGACCGAGTAGGGATTGCTGTCGCGATAGGCGTCGAGTTGCCATTGCGGAATGTCGTGCTGGAAAGGACAATTTGCGACGCGGCATTCGAGTGGCCGGCAGTTGTACCAAAAGCAGCACAAGGGTATTTTTGTGTAATAATAATGATTCCATGGGTTTGCAATTGTCGGGTCATGTATTCTTCGGGCCCCGCGTAGGCCTTGCTGGTCAAGGAATTCCATGATCTCGGTAAGATCTTGCGCTGTGATCATGGTGCCACCTGCAATATCATATTTCAGTGATCTAAAACGTCGGGCTGCAATTCTAAGCGAGTTTGGGGTAAAAGCATACTCGACAGCCTCCATTGCGGTTGCGGCGATGTCCTAGAAGACGTTGGTTGCTGTTCAGCGTCTAGAGATGTCAAACTTTAGTACAGATGCTTGGAGAGCGAATTCATGAAACTTCGTTCCTTGAGTCTCTTGCGGCAGCTCAGGGACAGGCAGCAAAGTTGGAGCCGGATCTACATTGCATGTAAGCAGATTGATCATCAGGACGTGGGTCGGGATCGATCGATTCCGTACATTGCGGCTGCTGGCCCTCAGGATTCTGCGGCTGAATATCTAGAGAATTTGGTGTCAGTCTACAGCAATCCCAATGCAAGATTTGGTGGGTATGGATATTCGGGAATTGTGGAATCCTCAAAACGATCGGAACCGGTCTGTAAAAGAGGCTGTCTGGAGATGGCATACATTGTGGCGAAGCATATTGAGGCGTGGGCACTAGCACCAGAAGTCAGCCCATAAAGTTTCTGGTGAAGGACGATCATGGAAGGACGTGGGTGGAGGTTCCCGTTGCGCTGGTGCATATTGCGGTGGCGCATATTGCGGTGGCGCATATTGCGGTGGCGCATATTGCGGTGGTGGATGTTGCGGAGTTCGCGCTGGGGCATTTAATATGAGTGGACAAGGTTGGAAGTACAGCCTTGAAAGACAACTTACTCGTTTGCTGCCATGCTTGCGAATGATCTGGAAATCCCAGCGTCAGCTCACAAAGATATCAACAGGGCAAGTGCTTTGGAGATGTCTCACCGATTTGCGGAGGCTGCCATTGTGGCGGTGGGGCCCTGGAGATAGCGATGTCCTGGTGGATTTGCTGATGGTGAACTTGCGAGAAGTATTCTTGCGGGCGGACTTCTTGCGGTTGATAGC